TAACAGACCTATCAATATTCCACTTAGCGAGATATCGCTTGGCTGCACGCTTGCATAATTCCTCTGACCAGAGAGCCAGTTTGGTGAGGGCTTTACTGGAAAAAGGAAAACAGACAGACCCTCGACTGCAGACAACAAGTCGAAGGGCCAGGAGTCCCACCACTCACTGCTTCACAAACAACAACTTCATGATTCTTTTCATTGCTGTAGTCAATCCACGATTCTATAGAGTATAAAGGCCATTAAAAGACTGAGGTCGTTGAGTCTTTGTGCCGTTCGTTGATTTGTGCTCCTGCTGTATTGAACAGTATAAGGGGATGCTGATGGATACTGAAAAAAGAAATAAAAATACTAAAAAATAAATAAAATAAATACTGAAAAAAATATCTTCCTGCCCTAATTCTTTTAGTTGTATTAAATTTTCAAGTTATATCAACTTAAATCGGTCATACTAATGATATAATACTAGCCATGTGTAGCTAAAAAGGTGTAGGAAACCAGATATACCTATTAAAATTAAGTTAAAGTAACAAACATTTGCATTTAAAGTAACATAAAATATTGTCATGACTATTTGTCATAATTGTTTTACAGTGTCTGTACTTTTATTGTTGCATAAAATAATAATAAAGAAAAAAAAATATTGCCAATGATCCCTCATAGAAACTAATTACTCTCAGTAGTTACATTTACGCAGCCAAATAATACATTGGTTAAATTATTAGCTTAATGTATGCAGCTTCTTTCTGGAAAGTTTTTAATACTACCTGAAAGTCTTTCCACATAAGAATAGCAATCATTAATTAAAGTTATTTTTTTACTAGAAATTCAGAATGCTGGTTTTACAAGCAAATTGGCTAATTCGTATACCAATTGCAGATTTATTTTGGAAGTTAAAACACTGAAAAAGAGGAGTACATGACCTATACATACTAACTATTATTGAAGTAATTTAATCAAAGGAGTTGTCCAATGCGGTTTCATGCATGCACAGTTATTTACATTGTTACAGGTTGGATTCTTATACTCAAGCATATGTCAAATTTAAAAAATATATATTTATTTATCAAATTAAAAAAATGTAAAAATTACCTCCTGCATCTTTATACTCTGAGAAATAAGACCACACTGAGGTGGTCTGTCTCAAGAAAGAACTAAAAGTAGAATTACCATTGGTGTTGATTTTACAAGCTGGAGGAAACTTCAGGAAAGAAAAAAATATATATCATGGTTGCTTTTGGGTAACTATATGTTTGTTTGCTTTTAGATGGGTTTTGTTGATGTATTTCAATTTGCATATATTCTATGTATTCAATAAGCATACTGTATGCTTAAGCACCTTTAAAATAAGCTCAAAGTCAAAATGTTCTTAAAATAACTTTAATTAAAGTTGTTTACTAGTTGTTATTATAGTAATATTACAACCTGTGAATAATTGTTTTAATATAATGAGACGGGAAGAAATCTTAAAGTATGAATTCAAAAAACAACAACAATGCGATCAATTGTAATGGATTTTGAAGAATCTGCTCTGGTTACCCGTGTTCACGTGTTCAGGAAGAATGAGAACTTTGGAGAAAGATCTGAATAGAGGATGGGATCTTATGCGTTTCATTGCTACAGCAGCCTCTCCAAAATTGCCCATCCTAGGTCTATTCGAACTGAAAAGTCTTATATGAGTACATTCATATCAGACTGAAAGAGGAGATGTAGACCTGAAATTATCTAATCTACTGTATATGAGAAATATATGAAAGAAAAATAAACTTTGTAAATGCTTGAAATCTCCTCAAACATATACAAAAAAAAAATAATTGTATGTGCATGTTTAGAAAATAATTTTAAAATAATATCTGCTTTTAATTTCCGGTATTGTTTAAAATGCATAAATGCTCAGATTGGGAAAGTTTCATATAAACAGAAAGAATCGTAAATCAGAAAAGATTTGCCTGGATTAACAAAATGAGTGCCTGCGTGTCTGACCACTACTTTCTTTAAAATAGTATGGACATTGCTTTAACTGTGCAATAATGTAGAATATGCATTTAAAGCTATTTGGACACTCTCACTTAAACTTTTCTAATGAGATCCCACAGTGCTAGCTTTCTGAGCACAAAACTGTTATCAAGACTATTGTGCTGTTTCAAATGTGCATGAGGCATATTCTGATGATCCACAGATCTGATTACTCTGATTACTGAAGCAATTGAATAAGATTTGAGGTCATACTGTAACGTTCAACTAATTTAAACAGAGGATGCAATAGCACATATATAATCTATGCAACCATTAAATAGCAAACTAAAGCCTTAATTAGATCAAAAATTAAATAAAATTAAAAAAAAGAAACAAGGCCAAACTAAAATCCCAAAACAAAAAAAACTAAATAAAAAAACTAATAAAAAAGATTGACTAAATAAATCTAAAAAACAAAAAAATAATTGTTTTAGGTCAACAACAAAAGTCAACAAAAACAACACAAATATATAAAAAAACAACAACAAAAAACAACAAAAGACAAAAAGTAATACCAAAACAAATTAAAACAAAACCAAAACAAAGCCAAAACCCAACCAAAACAAAAACAAACTCAAAACAAAACTAAAACAAAACCCAACCAAAACAAAAACACACCCAAAACAAAACTACAACAAACCAAAAACCAAAACCAAATCAGAACCACCAACTAAATAGAACAAATTTTAAACGATGAAAATACATTAAAATTACATAAGATCTGGGTATTTATAGTAGTCAACATTTAAAGTGGATCTAAACCTTTCATTATAAAACCATTAAACAACATCCATTTTTATCTTGGGACAATTTTGAAAAACTTTCTTGATCCACTTCAAATGTTGACTATTGTAGTTTCAGCTGTAATATGGTGTGGCAGTCAGTAGCTGAGCTTTAGCTCTGCGGTACTAAATCCAACTTCTACCCTGTCAAACTGTTTTATTTCATGGTTTAATCTTCACCCTCCAGATTTAGAAATCTTCACTGTGGAAAATCAGAATTCTTCACATTCATCCATGAGTTTTCTTATGTCATCGCCCTGCTTTTAACACCATAAACACTGGAGCAGCAAACTCTCAACTCTTCATTTGATCAAAGCCAAACATCAGCTTAAGGTAAAACAACAGGTTTCGTCTAATAGGGTCTCTTGTGATTCCAACAAGTCTAGTGCTGTGGAAATAAGTGGGCATGTGTGTGGACTGAGATGCCCGGAAGAGCAGCATGAAAAATAAATGGTAAGTTAGAGACAGGGGTACGTTTCTGGCTTTTTAAAACCACAAGAGGGTGCAATATCTAATGCTTAACAGATTTAAGACATTTGAGACACTTAAAAAATTATTCCACAACCTATACAGTCCATAATTTATCTATCTATCTATAAAATAAATGCTACATCAAATGCTAAGAAATCTACATTATGCTTATAATTCAAACTAACTACTATAAAATAAATGTAATATAATAATAAGTGTTAATATTACACATTTAAAATAATAATAACAAATAAACATTGAAATAGGCGACACGGTGGTGCAGTGGGTAGTACGTTCGCCTCACAGCAAGAAGGTCGCTGGTTTGAGCCTGGGCTGGGTCAGTTGGCATTTCTGTGTGGAGTTTGCACATATGGATGATTCTCAGTGATGGGTTGCAGCTGGAAGGACATCTATAATAAATGCTATATCAAATAATAGGAAAAGTACATTATACTTATGTTTTAAGTAAATAAAATAAATTACTTTAAACTCAAAATTAAATAAAACAAATAAATAATTATTTTTAATAAATACTAATAATTATTATTATTTTAATAATAATAAAAATAAACAATCCCTTTATACATCTATCTATCTATCTATCTATCTATCTATCTATCTATCTATCTATCTATCTATCTATCTATCTATCTATCTATCTATCTATCTATCATTATGATAACAATTATAATAAATGCTACATCAAAATAATAAGAAATCTACATTATACTTATAATTCAAATAAAAAATGAAAATATAACACTTTTATGAACAATACTACAAAAAATCTATATTAAATAAGAATCTACGTTGCTTATAATTAAAATAAATAAAATAAATTACAAAAAAATATTTCAACAAAATTAAACCATATGAACAAAATTTTATATAAAATAGCTTATTCATTATAATTCATCCAACGCTAAAACAAAATGTATAAAATTTAAGTAATCAAATACTTTAAAAAATTTATATACACCTTACTTACATTTTATGCATGCAAAAATTATCTAATTGTAAGTAAACTTCATCTTGTTGCTGGGTAAATATTACTGTTTAATATTATACCATATATTTTTTTTAAATTACAGAATTAATTAAATAATAACTTAGATAATAATTAATGAATTGGATAAATTATTAAATATTAATAAGATTGTGTCTGTTGATGAGCTTCTATTATTTTCAGTCCACAAGAAAGTATAGTAGGGGCAAAGCAGTGGCGCAGTAGGTAGTGCTGTCGCCTCACAGCAAGAAGGTCATTGGTTCGAACCTCGGCTCAGTTGGTGTTTCTGTGTGGAGCTTGCATGTTCTCCCTGCGTTCGCGTGTGTTTCCTCTGGGTGCTCTGGTTTTCCCTACAGTCCAAAGACATGCGGTACAGGTGAATTGGGTAGGCTATATTGTCCGTAGTGTATGAGTGTGTGTGTGTGTGTGTGTATGTTTCCCAGAGATGGGTTGTGGCTGGAAGGGCATTCCGGTTCATTCCGCTACAGCGACCCCAGACTAATAAAGGGACTAAGTCGACAAGAAAATGAATGAATGAAGAAAGTATAGTAACTTCAGTCTTGGAGAGCAGCTTAGTGGGTTTTGGAACAAAGTTAAGCTCAACTTTAATAAATGCAAAACATAAATAAATTGGTTACTGCAGGTTGAAGAGGTTGTAAATGGTGCTCTAAGGTGCAAACACCGAAAACGAGGGTCTTTCAGGCCATTTGAGGAGTCACTCTTACCTCACATTGTCATGCTTCTGAATGTAGATTTTGTGGAACATCATATCCTCCTGTTTGGCATTAATGTCGGCTTTCATTTCCAAGGCCACATGACGAGGAAGCACAGAGAGGAGGAGACGCTCCTGCACAGTAATCATGGTAAGAGGGAAAAGAGGGCAGAGACAGGTGAAATCAAACAAGAGGGAAGAGCAAACGCCCAGTCAATCCATCACTTGAAGAAAACTACTGTACACTTACTCTGCTTTAGCACAATACACTTACAGTGCTAAAACGTACTGTCATAGAATTATCCGCTGAGGGGATCTAATGGTAAGAGCAGGGTATTTCAATGTAAACATAATACATTATGTTCTCTTTAATCTAAAGTTTTAAATTTATTTATTCAAATTGTTGAATTGTTTATTTTTCATGGTGTTACAGTGGCGCAGTGGGTAGCTTGATCACCTCACAGCAAGAAGGTCGCTGGTTCGAGCCTCAGCGGTTTCCCTAAAGACATTCACTACAGGTGAATTGGGTAGGCTAAATTGTCTGTAGTGTATGTGTGTGAATAAATGTGTATGGTTGTTTCCCAGTGATGGGTTGCAGCTGGAAGGGCATCTGCTGCGTAAATCATATGCTGGATAAGTTGGCAGGCCATTCCGCTGTGGCGACCCCTGATTAATAAAGGGACTAAGCTGAAAATAAAATAAAGGAATGAATGAATGAATGTTTATTATTCATTGAATTATTTACATAAAGTAAATAAAACAGCATTTTGGTGTCTTTTATGAAAAATGTTGTTTTAGTCAAAAAATATTAAATACTAAAATTGAAAAAAAAAATGTGAAGAAACATATACAAATAAAAATAATTATAATATATAATCTAATGATAATTACATAATTTAATCTTATTTTGGAAAGTTCTGTCTTCCAATGAGTCACAAAAAATCTAAATTTGGGTAACATTAAAATTACATACAATAAATAAAGCAGCATTTTGGCGTTTTTATGAAAAACAATGGTGTTTTAGTTACTTTTAAAACAAATAAAAAATAATAATAAATAAATAATAATTAATAAAATAAAATGTTATTAAATTATTAAAATAAAACAAAAGAATACTACAAAATTAGTAACAAGCAACAAGCAATACTTTGATTAATCTTTAGTTAACAATTAATGTTTCACTGTTCATATTATTAATGTGTCATTGAATAATAATTATTGATATATTATCAAATCAAATGTTTTATGGGGAATAAATAAATTAGAATAAATAAATATATAAATAAAAATAATTTACACACACACACACACACACACACACACACACACTTTTTCTTAATGATAATGATAATTATATAATTTAATAATATTTTTGGAAAGTTCCAATGCTTCACAAAAAAATCTAATTCCATTAAATAATCATTATTGATATATTATCAAATCAAATGCTTTATGGGAAATAAATTAGAAAAAAAATCATTGCAACTACATGCTAATTTTTTCTCATTTGAACATTAGTAGACTGTGTGCTTAATATCTACTGATACTGCTCCGTCAATAGACCTTTAACTCACTATAACTTTGCAAGTACATGTCAACTTACAGTAACCCTAACCACAACCTAACAGTCTACTTACAGTATAATCTAATGATTATAAGTATTAAATTCAACAAACAGACCATCAAAATAAAGTGTGATCAAAAGTTGTATTTGTGAATGATGGCATTAAAAGTTAACTGAGTAATAAATGCTTAATAAATACTTTAAATTCATAAATCATATATACATATATATAATTAATGTTAACCTTACTGTAGGGTTTTACAAACAAACCCTTTACTGCAAATATTACACCAACTGTGACAGGATAATGGTTATTCAGTAGAGGTATGCTGATCCGGAGGCCACACTGTTATATTTTGAAAGACTTAAATTGAAAAAAAAAATAATAATTATGCATTTGTTGAAATGATGCATGGCCTCGGTGGGCTTCAGTGTGCAAGGAAACAGACATTATATGTCTTTTTTTGGTGAGTCTATCGAGCATCTATGTACTGTTCTAGGATGTAGATTTAATCTTGCAAATGAATCAGCATGGTGTGTTTCCGTTTTTCAGTTTCAATAATATACTAAAAATCAATAGACATGTGAATGGACTGTCTGAACATTAACTCTATTTCAAGCAATCTGTAGTTCTTTTCCCACACATTAGAGTCTGCTTTTAGAGCACACTGCTGTTTTGTCGTGTACAGTTAAGAGAACACATTTTCACTGAATGATTATCATTTTAAATACTGTATGTTGGCTTTTATATACTGTAGTTTCATTGAAAACCTCAATCATGCTACTTTTTGCCCCTTACTATTATATAAGCCACAATTGCATTTGTAGTGTATGTTTCAATTACTTAACAGAATTTCAAAACAAATAGGTTTCATTTGAATGAATATAGCAATTTTTCTTGATTCTTGACATTAATAAGTTCACGAAGAATATGATCTTAATCTAAAATGGGATCACATGGAGTATGTACTTTGTAAGTATTAATAAACAGACAATGTCTTAATAATAGGCAGGTAACAAGAAACAAGTAAAAAATAAGAATTGGTACTCAACTAAAGTGTTACCCAAAACCTAACATCAGTAGCTATTGCAGAAAATAAAACTATGTAAAATATTATAAATGACTAATAAGAATTTAAATGGAAGAGCCCAAGTTAGACATTTTATGATGAAGAAGCAAAGCAAGTAAAAAAAAATGGATGTGGATATCAAGAACAATTTATATCTCAGAAAAGCATTTCTTATCACAACGCTTCCTATAATTACAACAAGTTCAGTAGGAGTAGAGTACTATAGTACTCTACTGCAGTGGTTCCCAACCTGGGGTCCGCGCCCCCCTAAGGGGGGCGCCAGAGTTCACAAGGGGAGCGCGGGAGAGGATAAGTGTTGAGGTAGAAAAAGGCATAAAATGCTCCACTATTTATACAGGGCTGTACAATTAATCCAAAATCCGATTTCGATTTCAAACGATTATAAAAAAGCATTAATCAAGATAAACAATTATATGCATCATATACCGCCCCCTTTCCAGTTGTATGTGTTGCGAAAGACCGCGTGCTTATGTGTGTGTGCAACACGCACACGCAGTCAGAAGCATGCGGCCAGTCAGCATTGGCTCTCATTCGCACCCTGAGACGAGCAGAGGAGCGCAGACATCTAGTCATCTTAACGTGAGCGCTTTAATGGTCAAATAGGTGTCAAAACGCGGTGTTTAGTGATTATTTATATTAACCCTCATTTGTGTAATAAACAAACGAGTTGAGGATCAAAAGACGTGAAAGAGAAACCATTAAAGAGACAGCGCAAAATATTCCTGCTGCTGCCTGTTTTTATTATCATTAATCAAACATAACGAGAAAATGTTTCTCTGCTCTTGACTGAAGGATTTCTGTAGCTAAAGTGTTTTTCTTACAGTGGAGATGCTTAAAGCACAGTTTGTTTTATATTTTTATTCTATTGTATTTATTTCTCTTTCCTTTGCAGGGTGGAAAATAACTGTATATATACACTTGAAGTCAGAATTATTAGCCCTCCTGAATATTAGCAACCCTTTTCCTGGCCAATTTCTGTTTAATGGAAAGAAGTTTTTTTTTTTTTTTTTTTTTTTTTACTTATTTCTGAACATAATAGTTTTGATATCTCATTTCTAATTACTGATTTCTTTTATCTTTGCTATGATGACAGCACATAATATTTTACTAAATGTTTTTCAAAATATAAGCATTCAAATTTAAGTGCAATTCAAAGGCTTAATTAGAGTAATTAGGCAAGTCATTGTATAGTTTCTTCTGCAGACAATCAAAAATATATATTGCTTAAGGTGGCTAATAATATTGATCTTAAAATAGGTTTCAAAATATTTAAACCTGCTTTTATTCTAGCTAAAATAAAACAAATAAGCCTAGAAGAAAAACAAATATTAGAGGAAATACTGTTAAATTCCTTGTTCTGTTAAACATAATTTGGGAAATATTTATAAAAAAAAAAAATTCTCAGGAATATATGTAATTTTAAGTACCAAAAACAAAAAAATAAATCAAAACACATGCTTAAAATTCCAACATAATAGTAAAAATAATTAAAATAAATAACTCTAAATAATTTTTTACATTTTGCTCACTTGCGCAATGTGCTTGTCCAACTTCTCGTAAAGGCAAAATCAAAACAAAAATGGCAGACAAACGTCAATCTAATGATTCTTCAGAGGCGAAGAAAAAGATTAGACAGTATGACAAAGCCTATCTAAATGCACATAAACACACACATACAGTAATATATATATATATACGGTACATATGTGTGCGCGTGCGTGTGTATTTATATGGTGGGGGGGCTCCAATGTTTGTATATGTTCATGGGGGGGGCCCCAGAGAAAAAGGTTGGGAACCACTGCTCTACTGGTCTATAGTCTTCTATAGACAGACGACTATAGTCTTCTGTGGATGTGTAACTGAATTAAATAATAAAGCATACACTATTAAAGCAATCCAATCAAATGCATTTACGACTACTTTTGGAATGTCAACAGTGAATAAACCACATTTTTAGACCCCATTTACACACGCACATGTGAAGTGTGTTAAAATCACACTTAAAATCAGATTGATGATATGCATATTTATATAAGACATTCTGCAGATTATATACAGTAATCACTTTCCAATGTCAATGAAGTAAATAAGTTGACATAAAAACTGCTAGCTGACGTGTTTTAAAGTTGCTCGTTGTCAATGGAATGTCTAAACAGGACCATCAAAACCAGATATATTTTAAGATGCCAATTGGTTGAATGTATTGTTCGTAATGCAGTGCCATTTTGCATGCCAGGGCTTAAGAGATCAAAATAATTTTTCAAATTTCTCAAAGCATAATTTATGTATGCTACAAAGGGTTTGAAATTAACACCTGTATTGTTTCACAATTTCTGTGAAACAATTCTATTTCGCAAATAGTCAATTTTTTGGTGAGTAGCTCAATATTGTAATGAATCACTTTCAAAAGTAACTTTCCCCAAGACTGATATGGAAGTCAATGGTTACAAGTTTTCAACTTTTTTTTTCAAATATTTAATAAAGAAAGAAAATCATAAAGACTTGAAAGATTTGACAGAATGATGACAGAATTTACATTTTTGGGTGAACTATCCCTTTAATTGAGAACACAGGGGAAAAAAGTCACTCTTAGTCATGCACAATTTGTGCAAGTCAACTAATGAAATATAACATTACATTAAAATCTGGGTGAATGAATAAATAGACTGGACAAAACAACTTATTTCTCATATCTTGGCTCCTAAAAACACAAAATGTGCAATAGTGCAGAAAGATTATTCAATTATATGAAAAATTCAGATTTAATGATACATTTAAGCATTAATTCTGACTATTTTTAATCTACATTTGGGTAGTAATTAAGTATATAACATTCAAATGCTTTCTGCTAACTTTCAAATGTTTGTGGTAATATTTTTATTGTCAAACATTTATTGCCATGCTAATCCAAAACTGTGTTTATTTTATATAAAGCGCATTAATTAAAAATCTACATGTATCTGACTGATTACTTCTGAATGTCTGTTAAATCAGACAAAATAGTAAACCTGTTCTTTAGAAGCAGAAGTCCTGATTTTCAGTGGGTTCATCTCACCTGTTGCTGGTTTTCTCTCTGCGAGTGCAGACGGGCTTGAATACATTCTCTGGTCTCCTGGAAGGCCTGTCTCTGAGAACCTTCTGCTGGGTAGTGTGTGCACACACCAACTATATTAGAGCAGGAGAAGATCAGGACATTGGACACCAGCTGTGAAAAATAGAAAAACGCATCAAATAATTAAAATCTTTAACCTTTAATGTCTCAAAAAAATAAAAAGTTTATTTCCTTCAAAATAAATGTTGTCATTGTTTGCTAAAAAGAAGATAATATGTTAAATACTGGACCCATTCACTTATTAAACGCTCATTAAAAAAACCTGACAAGTTTAAAATGAATAAACAAATTTACTTTAAAGTCTGTATGAACCGGAAGTTGCTAATATTAGGGGGTGAATGGTCGGATTACAAAAAAAAAATCATATCAGTGAATTAACTATAGTATAAAAAATGTAAACATTGTACATTTTGACTACACATGGACTCCACTAGTCATAAAAATCATGATGGTTGTGTTTTATTTTCATTGTTCATCTACGAGTGGTCTAATAAAATTTAATTAGACTGTGTTGGCAATCTTCCGGAGTGCTTTATCTATGATTTACTGAATGGAGTCTGTTGTGTAATCTTGGCATTCTGGGAGTTTCAAACTGTAATAAATTTCTGCCAAACTGTTTTTACGATACCTTTCAATGTGAAGAGTGTGAGCTGATTTTTTATGCAGCTTTATCTATTTTTAGATACTACACTCAAAACTCAAAAAGCATCTAAATCTAATTATAAAATTGCGTTTCTGCTCCAATTCGCTGTTGAAATTTAATTATTTACACAGTGGCTTTCAGAGTTTATTTCTCCAGTGAACGAACAAGTTGTGGAAACTGAATAACTTGCCTGGCAAATGTAATGCTACTTGACATTATTTACAGCTGTTTTAGATGAGACATCAGATGTTTATTTTGTGCTATAACTAATAATAAAGAGAAAGAAAATTGTCACATTCACCCGCTGCTTGAACCAAGGCTTGATTTTCTTGATAAAATAGGCTAAATTTAAAAGATGAGACTTGCATTTCTTATCAAAAGCAACAAAACACAAAGCTTCTTGTGATTACTGGACAGAAAGTGTGTTTATAATGCTGAAACACAGGCTTAAAGATCAATTTTGTTATTTAAGAATCAACAGAAATTAACATATACTGTATATAAACCAATTTTTTCAAAGTAATTTTAATTAAAATGTTAAGCATTTATTTTAAAAAAAAAGTAGTTTTCCTTGATGCACAAGAAAACCAAACCAAAAAAAACACACCAAACATTTCCATTAAAAACAACTGTAATGTTAGACACCTAATTTAACCCATGTTTACCATAAACCACAAGTTTTAAACTTACATTTCCACACACACCTTATTTGACTTTTTCATTGTGATGTGCAAGATGGGCTTGTGGTTCAAAAAAAGAAAGCAAATCCAGGAAGTCTTCCAGGAAACTTAAAATAGACTGTTTGATGAAGACTAGCCAAACAACCTGAAGCTGTTCAGTGTCAACGCATTTCAACTTATCTGGGTTAAATAGGGCCTCCTCCCTGTCTTCCACAAGCAGGGTCAGGAACAGGGCATCTTGACTCCTTCTAGACACTGGTATCAGGGCAGCGAGATGCATTCCCATAATATCTTTTGCTTGTGCTGGACTGAACTTCAGTGGACAAATCTCTGCCATGACCTCAGGCAACAGACGCTTCACCCTAATATGGATTGTATTAACATAACTGTGCTTTTTTTTTGCCTTTATTTTGTCTCAAAATGCTCCGATCACATCGCATAAGCTCTAATATTAGTATTTTGGATTAAATGGTTGGCTTTGTTTAGTAATATGGATGAACCAATCCTTATATATTTCAAATATGACTGAAAAAGTCTGAAATAACAATGAGTGTGACATAAAATATGGTTTTATACGAGTTATATATTAAAAAAAAGTGTAATCAAAATGTTTAGAACAAGCAGGTAGAAGGTCACTAAAGCTTAAATACCTAACACTTCTTTTATATGTTTTTGAAAAAGCCAGTGATGTCAAATGAAACAAATACAGACACATAAGCAAGTTTTCTTTTCTTTTGTGATTAGAAAATGGAAAAAGCCTTGGTTACTTCAAGTGGAAAAAGGACAATCAATACTGATTAAAGTCTGTCTGCGTGTGTAAAAACCTGCACTCAAGGTAAAACCACTATTAAGGTAAAATAACAAAAAAATAAATACAGCTTTCATTTTTGAATTTTAATTCTGATCAAATCTATCCAACTCTCATGCAGAGTTCAGACTGCTTGATTTTAGCCCCGATTTTGACTCGCCGAAAAGTTGAGAAATTGCAGACAAATGCCTGAAATCACAGGCAAATCGGTGCTCGTTCACATGAGTAACAAATCCCACAGTGTGAACCGTCAAAGACGCGATCTGAGAGAATCACCAATGAGTCTCCGACGCTTGTGAGATATTTGGCATGCTAAATATCTGGAGCTGTCAGCAGTTTAAATCATGCAGTGTGAAATGTGTTCTGATTGAAAATAACATCTGCGATTACCTACAGCCAACGAGAGAGCAGCATCCACTAGTATAGGTATCTGCAGGCCAGCGAGAGGTTAGGGAATAAGTTGAAAGGGCTTCTTTTCAGACAAATTGGACACAAGAAATAGAGGAAAAACTAGTGATTTGGCAAGAGCAGCCGTGCCTGTTTGACATGTCATCTGAGCAATAACACAACTGGGTCGAAAACAAAACAAAAAAAGGTTGAGGAGAAATGAATAATTCCCTTCAAAGGCCAGGTGAGCAAAATAAGTACATTTCTCACTGCACTGAAGGCTTCTTACTCATTATGTAGGTAATATCAAAAGATATAGCTTGCTGTCGACTGAATGACTGACCGGCTGACCCACCCACCCCCTTCCCAAAACCCAACTGATAATGTTTTCAAAAGCGATCTAGGAAAAGAAAAGCCGCCATGGCCGCATGATTTCACCATGTTTTCAGCCTGTTGTTTTTATTCACTTATTTTTTGCTTTTGTTTTACCTGGTTTCTGGAACTGTACTTCGTGTCCCAAGTCTCCCGACATATGCGGCGAGCTACTGGGCAAACTAATAACACCAGAAAAGCCATCCATACAGAGATACGCTGTGGGTAGAGCTAAATGAACAAAAGCCATTAGCAGCATCATACCTGCAGTGTTCGTTTTAAACACGAAATACAGCCAGACGTACCTTTGGGTACATAATTCGCGATCTCCAGAAATGTAGACAGAGTACATATCCACAATGAGGCTGTGTTGTTAATAAATGATGTGTTCAGCATTATGCTCCACCGCTATTTCAAATATGGCGTTCAAATCACCATCAGCCCCTGAAGCAAGTGGTTCTTCCTGCATAGCAATGTTTTGTGCTACTTAAGCGCCACTTTTTCTTGTTCAGATCTGTCAGACTGTCGAAAGAAAAAAAAATTATTTAAAACTTGGCTCTGGTTAAAAACCAGCACTTGAACTGATTTGGTGGAAAAGTAGTAAATGAGTAATGACTGAGACTGGCCCTGAAAACGATTGAAACTCACTGTGAAATTAAAATGTACAATGTTTATTTTGTAAGCACTCATTGTTATTCTTCAGGTAAACAATTAATCTGTGCAAGTTATTAACTGAAAAAGAGTGTTTGGCCATCTTCAAAGTCTGAGTATGCTTTGCATTTGGAGTGTTGGGGATTTTATGTTGACGTCAGTTTGACGGCTTCAGCTACAATATTCTTAACCACACCACACTCTTACCATTAGTTTACTATGAGGGAATGATGCACAGAATGAAAGCCCCGTTCCCAACTAAAACGAAAAATTGAGTTGAAGTACATCAACGTCATTAAATAAAAGTCTCAGCTACTTCCGTTTCCTGTGGTTTTTAATACTCTGTTAATTTCTACAGATTACATGTGTAAATTTAGCACTACAGCAGCTGCACTGTTGGTTGTCTGCAGCAGTGAATGCAGAGGCTTTTCATCAGTGGCATGGAAACGTACACACACACACACACACACACACACACACACATGCTGCGATGCAAATATTTCTGAGCAATAATGCACTCTATTAATACACTCCCATTTCACATTTCGTAATGTCCTTTTTAGGAAGCTGGTGGAATCCCTGTGTCACAGAGTGGGAGGGAATGTACAATAGTGCTTCTCTCGGCTGTAAGAATGCGGGGGATCCAACAGCTAGCACAGCAGCGAAAAAAAAAGAATTAGGATGTCTTTGTTTTAAGAGGATTAATGCATGCATCGCACTTCTCAAATGAGCCTTTTGTGCTTCATCTCATGTGTTATTCACGATCAGGACTAATGCAACCTGCTGAATTTGTTGGACATAATGAAGCTAGCGGAGAGGAGGATGGGTCAGTCATTGGCCCTCTGGGAAGCCAATCACTCACTCACTCACTCACTGTCAAGGGCTGCCAGTGCAGCAAACCTGAAGCCAGATGCAAACCCTATGAATTAGAACAGCTGGCGGCTCTGTTAGCCAAGAATCTGAAACTGTAGTCTTGCAGAGGAGTGTGAATGAGATAACAAGTGACTGCTTAAAATACTTGGGTGACTATATATGATATGATACTGTATGGGTTATTGAGTTTGACTTTTGGCCAAAAGTTTATATCTGCTAAAACACAAAGAGATCATCAATGTCACATCAATTCATTTCAAGTACACTAAACTAGCATACTTTGCAGCAACTCAGTAATAACAAACAACTAACTATGGTCTTGAAGAGCGATGTGAACGAGAAAACAAGTGAAAGTCTATACCTGCTCAGACTCAAAGATATCACCAGTGTCAATTCAACTTATTTCAAGTAAACGCTATGCCACTAACCTGGCATTCTTTGCAGCAACTCAATAATAACAAGTGTTGTCACGATACTGAAATTTCTAACATCGATACAATACCTTGAAAAATATCGATATTTGATACCATTTGCAAAGATACCAATAGGATACCATGCATATTGAACTGCATGAACTGATTGAGATTGTGTTAGCCATTTAACTTGAGAGATTAAAAAAATAAAAGACATTTTAGGGACAACACGTATATCGGCAGCACTTATTTAAAGCATTATTGAT